TCTTGGGTTGACAGGGACTAGGGATGGGAAGTTTCTGCCTTTTAACAGGCAGTTTTTCCTTGCCCTTGTCGCCAAGTGCTTGCTCATGGTGGTACTGTTGGGTCTCTGTAATTAATGTTAAAGAGTTCGGTCTAGACCTGCTCTATTTGAAAAGTGTCCTGAGATAACTTCTGTTATGAATTGGCGCTATACAAATAAAATTGAATTGAATTGAATTGAATTGAATTGAGAACCGGTTCTTCTTCAGAACCGGTGTCCAGTGAATCGATTCCTTGGAACCATTAGCATGCCTGCTTAATGACTCCGCTTATCGGTTCCGCTCGTTGCAAATGCGTCATGATGTCACACACGCGCTGCGTTGTTTTGGTTCAGAACGCAGCAAACATGGCGTTGAGGCAGAAGCGCTCTAAAGTTATATTTCACGCGAAAGGACATCAATACGGTCACTTGCAACACTTGTAAAGTTTCCATTTCGTCAGTGGGGGGAACTACCTCCAATATGCTGAAACATTTGGCCACACAGCATGCAATTCATTTGCAGGGCTGTCGCGTGTTTGATACACTACTACTTAGCGAAACAAGTGAGTCAAGCAGCAGCGGAGCTAACTGGACGCCATCTGTTATTAATGCCGAAGGTAACTTTTAACTCTCCAGGCAGGACAGGCCCTGTCTACAACAGTTTTTTAATGCGGTAAAACAGAATGCTTAGAATGCCCTGATTGCTCTTGTCCCATTTAGTTCTGGTTCCTGAACCAGTTCCTTTTTAAGGTTTCCACCAGTGTTGAACGGAACCATTGTAATCAGATGCATCATCAACAGAGGGCGCTACACAATGCACAACAATCTGTAGAACATGACACCCCCACTTGGTTCCCAAGGAAAACCTGCTCATCTTTGACTCCAGCTGGGAATTCATTCATTCAGTTCATTTTTGAACAAAAGCTTAGATAGTTCAAAACAAGGTGCTTGAATTGGAACAGAGCCAGTTCCCTGTTGGTGGTTAAGGCCTAACTGGGAACTTAATCGAAAGATTGCTACAGAATTTGCTGAACACTTTCATTTCACTTTGGGATTATCACTTTTGATTTTATTGACCTTGTGGCCATCTGATAGCAGAACTGTCAATATTAAGTTTGTTCTGTTAAACACTTTCACATGGAGTAGATCAGCTATCGTGGCATCCAGGTGACGCTAGTATGGCATTAAAAGGCAAATGGACCTGTACTTGTATAGCGCCTTTCTAGTCTTCCGGCCTTCCAACTACATGAGACATTCACTCAGTGATGGCAGAGTCCATCGAAGAGAAACTAACATTTATACACATTCACGGCATCGGGAACAATTTGGGGTTTAGTATCTTGCTCAAGGACACTTCGACATGTGGCACCAGGAGCCGGGGATCGAACCTACAACCTTCTGATTAAGGAACGACCCGCTCTGCCTCTGAGCCACAGCTGCCATCAGACTTTTAGTCCTGTGCATTTGTGTATCGGAACAAAGTAATATATTTACATATGGCTTACAAATTAAGAATATGTGAAAGGGAACTGAAATTGAGGGAGAGAAAAAGAAGAGCCAGTGGGACGTTATGACAGAATAAATATTTATGGAAGAGCTGCTGTCAACTGCTGGCGGCTTTGATATTTATGGCTGTCTGTCCCTGGATGGTGATGTCATCAACTAAAGAACAAAAACAATGAAAAAGTGAGGTAGATGATATGGGTAGATCTTCCCATTTGATTTTGCATCTGACAGTGAAGGGTGTGGTTCAAATACAGGATTATTTATAAGGGAATTATAGAAAATGAGTGTACAACAGTGTGATATGTGATATATGATATTGGCACTTACCCAGGACAGCCCACCCACCTGATTTTATGTCTCATAAAGACGAGAGAAAATATTGGATCCCCTACAACTGCATGACAGAATGAGGTGTGTGTGTGTGTGTGTGTGTGTGTTTGCGTGTGCATGTGCGTGTTTTAATGTACCCTGAGGAGAGGTGGGACAGGTCAGATTCAAGGCACTTAGGTTGATTAAAAATCTCTCTGCTGCAGTACCTTCTCTCCTCCATGCCTTTTCTCCCCTCCTCTACTCATTTACCCTTTCCTATCCTCTTCTCTCCCCTCTTCTCTTCATAGAATGCTGCAATACGACAACCCTGTCAACCAAAGGCAAGAGGAGAATTGCGAGACTCCTTCAAGCACACAGGGAAGGCCACATATGAAGCATTACTTGAGTTTCATGCTGGAGATATCAACCATTGTAATGTCCTCATTGCAGTGGGTTTTACTAATTTCTATTTGTGGGTTCTAATTTGCAGACCTTTCTGTCAAACTAGCCAAAGAATCTTACTCATAGAGTCAGTCACAGAGATAAACTCATATAGGCCTTTTACACCAACATGGCACCAGTTCCTTTCCACTTGTGGTGTTTTCACAGAGACAGTTATGTGGGCGTTCTTTTTTTTTTTCTGAGTAGGGCGGGTCTTTGCAAAATGCCAGTGAGAAAAAAATCAAGCATTATGCGGGTGTTTAGGGGTGTGTGCCTAGACTAACCAGGAGGTGTCAGCACAGGTTTACCCTACTATTTAATGCCAAAATGGCAGCTGATTAAAAAGGTATATTGGCAGAAATAGAATATAATATTAATAGATATGTTTTCAGTAGTGTATAATCACCTGAAAAAGTCCACCATGTTGAACCACTATGTTTCTACAGTAGCCCACAACAGACAAATCAAACACTGGCTCTACATTGGGCATTTTGCATTCTTTGCAGACACCATAGTTTCTTCTACTTAAGCATTTAGTGTGATGAGTTTGGGTTGGGCTCTAGAATAAATATTTAGCTGACAAATCATCTACATGTGAATCCATGCCATAATACTGTAATAGATAGTGATATTTCCCAGGTAATGGAACTTCGGTCCAGTCAGAGAGACTAAGGGGAAATTTTAATAATAGGAGTTAAAAATTAAATTAATTAAAAATGTTATTTAATTTTTTGTCAATAAATGAAAGCTATTTTAAAATCCAAAAAGATACTGGGCTTCTGAGAATACATTTGTGGGCGGGGCCAGCAGGAAAAACACTCCTGTGCATATTCAGTGCGCCACATACCAAGGAAGTAACGCTAGGAGCTCTTTTGGCATAAGCGCCATTCAAGCAATTTGTCCGGTATCTAGTTCTTATAATACATCTTTTGTTTTAAGGAACCTGGGAAATGAGTCTTATTTCTTATCTAAAGAGAAAAATAATCTTGTCAAACATGTTTTGCATCAGAAAAGTAATCTGGTTCTAAGAATATAAAATACAATACATCTAACTTTGTCTTATTAAGATATTAAAGTCATTTATTTGTATGATGTATGAAAAAAAAAAACTTTTTTAGTTTAAAAAAGTCAATCTTTTCATAGCTTGAAATAAGCACAACTTGCTTACATTTTTGGCATTTTTTCTAGTTTCAAGGCCCACTGCAGTCTTTCAGTGGCTAGATTTGTATTCTAGTTTTAAGAATTCTAGCGAAGCAAAATTTGTTAACCCTATTGGCAGATTTTTGGTTAATAAAAGAAAATCTTCTAGAAGGGCTGTTTTTGCAGTGCACACACACAAAACATTTGCACTATTCTGAGCGTGTGGCTTGTGGGATAGTTTACAAAACAGTTGTGGTCTCCACTGCCAATAAAAGCCAACAGTTGTCCCTTTGCAAGCCTGCAGCAGACAGGCTGCATGACTGTGTGTGTGTGTGTGTGTGTGTGTGTGTGTGTGTGTGTGTGTGTGTGTGTGTGTGTGTGTGTGTTGGGGTGTCTGCAGTGCCTTAAAATGTCTAAAATCCAATAAAATGTATTAATAGATCTTAGGAAACATCTGTATCGGGGTGGTGAGAATTGATGCGATGGCCAGATCTGCTTATAAAACATATAGAGATGAGAGGACAAAGAGAGAGAGTGGAGTTGAGGCTGCAGTCCGAGGCTGAGATGAACACAAACACACCCTCATGCGGTCAGTGCATCTGTTGCTAGGGAAAATAAAAAGATGAAAAACTGTATTGCAGTCAAATTCCTGAGAACAAGACAGAAGGTAAAAAGGCATTTGTATTTTGTCAAACACACCTTGAGAAAATAACCTTAATAAAGTCATAGTGACGTCATCAAGATTATCACGTTTTGGGACTGGAGACTATAAATTTATTACAGAAAAAAACAGGGGGCATGGAGTTTGAAAGGCAGGTAGCCTATTTACCAGGCAGAGAGGGTCTAAAAAAAGACAATTCAATTGCATTATGGGAAATGTAGAATCCAGTGTTTTTGGAACTTAACAAGGGGCTAAAAAGTCTATCCAGGTCTCTGCTGTTTCAATCTCAACCATTCTTGTTTGAATCTGTCCTTTGTGAGGCCTTCCAACTGTATGGAAGTGCAGTGCTAAATTGTTGTCGGATATGGTGGCATCTAGTGACATTTTGAATTAGATTACAGTTGAGCCTTCCAAGTGTGTCTGAGAAACCACGGTGGTCGATATCTACAACCACTGTTTGGTTTGTCTGTTCTGGGCTACAGTAGAAACATGGCTGTTTAATATCACCTGGAAATGCTGTGTTGCATGCACACCACAGCATTTTCAGGTAATATACTAATGACTGATTATACACTAGGGAGATCTATTGTCAGAAATGGAATATAATATGCATAAATATGTTTTCATCAATGTATACTCACCAAAGACTGTATAATTACGTCACTATAAGACGTTATCTTTATCTGCCCCTGCCATTGCCTAGTCATTATTTGTAATATGTAACATTAATTTACAACTACTAAACACATAGTAACACGCTGTGGTTTTCTTTTCTTTTCTTGTCTTTTACAGTCAGTAAAAGCACTAGCAGTCAGAATCCTGCCTTGGGGGAAATGTTACACTACAGAATCACAGCCATTACTGTCCCTACTGTCTGACAGGAGACTCCAACCAGGTTATCGCGAGAGCAGCTATCCGTATGTTTACAAGCAGTATTTATTAGCAGCAGTCTCCCCCTACCGTCACTGATTTACGGTCCGGCCGAGCGAATGTTCAGAAAACGCGCTGCTGCTGGGAGGAGACATTACCGACATTTCGTCTTTGACAGCACGGCTGGTGGCACCTTTCTTTCGGGACACATTTTCATTCGCCCACAAACGCCCAGTCTTGTGTCCTTATTTGCTGCCCAAGAGGAAGAGCGGGGAAGGGAAGAAATAAGCTAGCAGGTCGTCGGCTCGGGTTTGCTCCGCAGGGGTAGCCAGGTAAGACAGAAACCGACCCTTGACTGGCAGCTAATGTTAGTCGATAACCCGTCTGACAGCTGCTATGAAATGACATTATTTGTATTACACCATAAAATCATAGTCCGATAAATTTCAGCAGTCGGTCTGTATTTGCTTGCCATCCGTTCTGTACCCCGCGAGAGCTGCATGTAGCTCGTGCAGTTTTAACGCTATTGTGAAGGACTGATGCGGTCCCCAACGGTAGCCATGGTTACTAGCCATTTCTCCGGGTCCACAGAACCAGTACCAGGTCAGACGGGCAGAACTATTAATGCTCTTACTGCCAGCAAGCTTGTAGGAATAAGCAGGTATTGAAAATGAGAAATGTGAAATTGTACGCAGCGTGGTTTTCGCCTGTTTGCTCTGCGGTGGGGGATCGAACAGGACAGTGTTAGCTGGAGGAGACAGTGTGGAGATCGATGTGCTACGCGCCTCAGTGGCGAGACGCATGTGGCTGCTTACTGTGTGCTGTCGGTGTCTTCTTTCGTTACACATGTTCAGTTTGTGTGTCTCTGCGGAGAGCTCACGCTGAACCTTTCCTGTAGATAAATCAGCATGCTGCTGATGTAAACCATTTTGTATTATATTTCTAACAATGCATTTATAAATGGTTCATATTGTCTCTCAACATCAGTAGCTGCTATTACTGAATTATATTAATTGCACATTACTATTATAGCAATAGTAGCAATGTATGATATCCAATAGCAGTAATGTTGAGTGATAATGTAATTTATTTTCTGGCAGAGGCATTTGTATTAGGGATGGACTTTTTTTCAGAGCCATTACAGATACCAGTTATTAGTAATCAAGGAAACCATGAACCAATATTTGGAAATGATATACATTTGCAGTAAAAATAAGAATCTTAACCAGTGGTGGAATGTAATTTACACTAAAGTACATTTACTGAAGCACTGTACAAAAGTAAAATTTTTATGTATTTCCATGTTATGCTACTTTATACTTTTACTTCACTACATTTATTTGATATCTTTAGTTGCTAGTTACTTTGCTCTTAAGGCCTTTCCGCACTTTTACTTTTGGTAGGTGCATTTTAATATGGGGTCTCATGGAGACTGACTCACTTCTGGAGCCAGCCTCAAGTGGTCATTAGAGGAACAGCAGTTTTTGGCACTTCCATTTTGGCTTCATTTACAGAAGCTGCTTCAGCCACAGAGGTTACTGCTTCAGTTAAAACATGTTTGTCCAGGTGACTCACCTATGCTTGTGCATTCTCAGGTGCCTGATGACGTTTAATGTGGTTGATCCTGAATCTTATATTTTGATACCGCACACGGGGCATTTGGTGATTCTTTTGTTTGGTGACTTGTGTGAAGTAAATGGCACAGTATGTGCAGGTGTGCTTGCCATAGTGTTGTTTCTGCAGCAGCTTTATAGTCATCTGTGGACCTGTGCACCACATGTGTGGGGCTATGCATGATAATAAAGGAGGAATGACATTCAGTTCGTTGGGCATTTTCTTAATGTTAACTAAAGAATAAAATAAATATAGTTTACAAGTCCCAAATCTTAAGTCAGTGTCGAGTCTCATGTCTATTTAGGACGATTCTCTTAAGTGTGAGTCCAAGTTGCAAGCTTGAGTCCCCATCTCCGGTATGTCAACCTATAGTAGTACACTGCGACAACAGTGATCTCATTAGAGAATCTGTGTTCTCTCATGTTACATATTCTGTTCAACCTCTCAGACACTCAAACACCTCTGTGTGTGGTGGCAGATCAGATCTCCACCTGTGTTGCATATTGCATAACAGTAGGTGCTTTCAGGGTTGGCTGGAGTCAGTGGATAGAGGAGCCGATAGAAGCTACTTGATGATATGTTAGTGTTTGATACAAAAGGTTCTATCTCTCCTCCCTCTCTGCTGCCGCACTTCACTGTAACCTGAATTATATGCTTCTGGAAGTCATAACAGTAAATGCAGTTTTGGCAGCTGGCAGTGCACATTCTTCACCTGCTTTTTCAAAGTGTAATCAATGCTGCGAGTTTTACTCATTTATTAAAAGTTGTATTCGTATGCAATTTCTGTACGAGAAATATATCTATAAGTGATGTCTGACTGACATTTTTGGTCTCTAGGGAGTAGTTCTTCTTGGGTTCTGTGTTACGCTGCTTTGCTAGTTTGGTAAACTTAAAGGATTAAATGATACAGCTGGTGTGAAATTTATTAGTCCATCTTTCAATACTTTTTGACTTTCATACCCAGTCTGTGACAGCTCACTGGTTCCTGCTGTAGATGTGAATCTTTACAGGAGTCATATTATGCCCATTTTCAGGTTCATAATTGTATTTTGTGGCTCAATACAATATGTTTAGATGTTTTAATGTTCAAAAAACACATTATTTTTCTCGCACTGCCTATAGTGCAGGTGCTCTTTTCAGCCTCTGTCTAAAACGCTCCGTTTTAGCTCCTGTCTCTTTAAGGCCCCCGTCCTGGAAAGCCCAGTCTGCTCTGATTGGTCAGCATTATGATGTGGATGACGCTCTGGCCCCTCCCACTTCCGCCTCAGCGTTGCCGGTGTTTAGGCAGGTAGCTCCTCACTGTTACTGAGTTTAGCTGCATTTCTACCGTCAATATTATTTCAATAACTGCTACTAAACCAAAAACTTCACCAGCGGACATGTTAGAGCGGGAGTCTGACCTGAAATCACAGAGAAATGAACAACATCAACAATCAGGATTACAGCTTTCTGTGACGTGTTCCTCAGGTAAATACTGCTAACGCTATTAATCTCTCTCTATCACATGATGTTAGGTTAGTATTTGTACCTTAACTATCAAAACCAACACTGTGTTTTATGCTCGTCTTTACAGGTACAGCAGTGAGCAGTGACCTACAAGCTATAGAGCCCAGTGAAGTTAAACATAATTATTGTGAGGAGCTAAAGAGGTAACGTGTCAGCATGTGCATGTAGCATAGTATATAATGTAAACTGTAATTACCCGGATGTGGGGATGTTACCATACGAAACAGATGACAATTGTTTCTAGTGAAGAACCAGACAGAAATTGTACCAAAGTAATCAGAGTACTAGTATAATGATTACGGTAACCTCCTATCTGTTATATTCTTATCCTATACACATTAGTTTACTGAGACCATGCAAACTTAACATAATGAGGAAGAAACCTGCCAGGAATACTTTATCCTGTACAACATGTCAGCATAACTGAAGGAATTACTCATTTAATAATGTAACTTGCTTATGTAGTCGAAAAACTGCTAAGTAACTAACTGTGGACAGTACTGTGTGCATATTTCATAGTAAGCCTGATATTTTAACAATATTACCACAGTTATCCTTCACATATTTCTAAAAGCTACAATTATGTTTTAACCTCTTTCAAAATACTGTGTATATATATACTGAATATTGTATCATTTATATTACTGTATCATTTATATTATGTTATGATGTCATTTATCTGTCACCATAATAAAGATTGAATGTGAGACAGAAATGTATTTTGTATTTTAAACATCGTCATTTACTACAGGTTTAAATTTCACATTTTCATATTGATAGATAGATGTTACACGAACCAGGTTTTCAACTCTTCTACATGCAGGAAATCTTCATAAAACCTTTGTGAAATAACATGTTATTTATATAAAACCACATTTATTACTGAATTTAAAAATGACCAAAACTCTAATTAAAAATAAAACACTTTATTCATGTTTCATTCATATTCCAGTTATACAGAAATATAAATTGTGTGCATGTTGCAAGTAACAAAGCTAAACTTTTATGTAAACTGTGCAGATTGTGTCCTCCATCAAGGTATATAGTTTCTAGTATACTGAAGTGTGAACTGGTAATGGAGCTCTGCAGTCAGTGTTCATCTTGAAGCGTCTTCCTTTGGATACCCAGACTGTCCTGATGCTGCAGCTGTCTCTGTCCTCTGATCGGTCCAGGAACACCTGAGCTTCATCAGGTCATTTAGATCACCTGTAAAACATGGCAGATTCACTGATATAATACAGTATAATATAATACAGTACAAGTACAACTCCAGAATAACAAAGCTAGAGCTAGCTGGTTAGCACATCGGCAGAAAATTACACAAGAAGCATCATGACTTAGTAATACTCCTCAGTAATCTATTACTGTAACTGCATTAACGCTAATGTTTTATATTAGTCACGGTTTTACTTCACAAACAGCAGAGAGCCACTACAGCTTCTCAGTGCTAATCAAAGTTACACAGCCTTAATAAACAAATAAATTCCTGCAGTTTGAACATTTCTGCTTTACACATAGCTCTGTCTTTACCTCCGGTGCTCGTCCATCACGTGAAAACACACACACCTGAATGGAGAATAAGGCCTTCAGCTAGCTGCCTGAGCTAACGTTAACACATCAGTAGAAAGTTACACAAAAATTAACATGAAAGACAACAACCAGCCTCCAACCTACTACTCGTGGTATTTTTAGCTTCTTAACGGTCACACAGCTTCTGATTGTCCCTCATATTACAACAGAAAGTCTGACATCAGCCCAGCCTGTGTGACTACAATGTTAGCCACATTAGCTGCATAGCATGTTAATGCCAAGTCCAGCAGGCTAACCTACACAATCAACAGTAAAACAACATTAAATAGAGAAAAACTTACAGCTTCCAAGTGTGAAGTTGGGTGACAGACGGTCCGTATCGGTCCATGAGCTGGTACTAATTTGAGAAAGCAGTTGCAGTCCTTATGGGAAAATTTTAGTCACATTTAAAAAATAAAGTATGTATCTTCCTCTGATGATGGGAGGACATGCAAACTTCTGTGCTGGGAAGGTGGTGGTATGCAAATGACTCTGTCTGTTACGTAACAAGAGGGGCAGAATCTGAACGCAGCGTTTGAGCTGAGGTCTTCTGACATGGCCCGCCCACTAAAAAAGGACTGAGTTTATTTTTTTCACAGTTTCTGTGTTGGTAGGCCACCCAAATACCCAAATATGTGTGTAC